AAGCTAGTGTCAATATCATCACTTTAGAGTGAAATTCAATAACCGAATATTACATAGTCACAAAGGTTGAGAGTTGGGAATATAATAGTACAGAGTAGATTTCACACTATAAACAGTGTCGGATCCATCGGAAATTGATTGTTTCAATTACACTACGTGTTTGTCAAATGGCTCCTGCATTCTTCAAATTGACACTACCATATGTTTAGGTGCTAATAAGGAGTTATCATTTGTTCATCATTTTAGATTGATATAACACACTAGTTGAGTAAACTAGTTACTACTCACTGTTGAGACTTCATTCAAGTTAGATTAACCATTCTTTCACATGTCACAGTATTAATAGGACTCCGACAGACGTTCAGCGGCGAAATCTCGGCATAGTCTCTGCAGCGCCACCTGCATGCAGTGGCTGGGATTGACGGATGAGAAGTAGTGTGACTTTATAATATTTTAATCGTTTGATATTTGAAAAATTACTCGCGTCCCACTATGTACACTACTTAGTTAACCAATCTCCCACTAAGCAAAGTAATATCTCAACAATATTGCAGCGATATTTCAATGTTATGTGTAATGTTACATCAGATATTGTCGCTATCTTACTGCATCAAGGTCGCAGCAACTACTGAAACGGACGTTCAGCAATATTATGAATGTAATGTTCGCAAATGAATCATTCCAGCAGAGTTATTGTAACATTGTGTATGAAGTAAAGTAACATTTCATACTCAATGAACGAATATAATCTTATTGTTATATTTTGTTAAGGTTACTGGCAACATAAAATAAAAAGTAAAGGAAAATTACATATTTTATATTATAAATTATACATAGAAACAATATTCTAATAATCGAATAATCGTGTCGACTATTTCATAATTTAAAAGTAGATTGAAAAAATTTCTAAATATTTTTGATATAACGGTACTAGGTCTCATAGGCACTGCACTGCATAAGAACCTGGAACAAAGGAAATAATGATAAAATAAAATAGTTAGGAATCTACCTGTTAGTTGAGTTAGTTCATCTACCGGTTGAACTTGAGAGTTGAGGATTGTATACTTGATTCTGGAAATATTCATTTTCCAAGGTATGCTGAGAGTATCCTTATAATATACACTGAAGATAATATGAATATTTCTCAGCATCTAGAGAATATTCTGAAGAACGATATTTGAGGTTGTTTTAGAATGAATTGTGAGTGCGAGCTCAAAGTTTTTTCTACAACAACTAAGTGCAGTAAAATGAGAGAAAAGATTTGATGATTCGAGCAATGATTCTACTATATCACTATGAGGTTAAACAAAACCTCAATGTCCCTAAGTGTTTCAGTAATAAAAAGGATTGATTTCATATAATTTGTAATGTTTTATAGAGTTCCTGATAAAGAGCCGATAAAGACCCGAAAGCTCAAACAGAAACAATAAGAAAGTAGGTACACTTTGATTCACTTTGACTGCATTCACTGACTGAATTTACGAGGTTCTCCTATAACTTTGAGTAGGTATACGAATAATTATAATCATTCTATGTTATTTTTTGTCGATCGAACGATCCGCTTAGATCAATGAACGATGTATGAATTTGTAAAATGTATACCTAACCTAGAATAACTGATGTTGACTTACCTAACCATCAACTGCTAACTGCGATTCAAAACCTTCCCAACTGCCTAATATCACATATCGCCAGATCACCACTTATACCACAATTTATGTTCCAAAGTATATTATTTATTGGTATCATTTGCCATTTGGACGTGTACAACAACAAATCGCTGTTTCATGAATCGTTCGAAATAATAATTCGAAACGGAAAACACGGAAAAAACGGAAAAAACGGAAAAAAACTGAGATAGGTATACGGAAATACGTTAATAATAATAATAATAAATGTTCTTTATTGGCATTATTGGTTAAAACCAAATGGCCATCGACCGAGGTCCTTCAGCCATACGTTAATAACTCAATGTTGCAAAAAATCTCTCACTACGTGCGGGTATAGTAAAAAAGCTTCTCGAAGCCAATATCATGATCATTATTTCATCGACACTATAATCAGTATTACTTATTCCACTATCCAGTAGACTGAACGATCTGAAACTGTATAGATTGATATTTCATCGTATATAGATTGAATTGAACAATGATATAGTGTCAATTTAATCGACACACTAGTATAAATTCAATTTCAATTGTTAGTGGATTGAGTTATCTGAATTGCTATTTTATCAAAATTTTAGAAATATAGAGTGAACTCAATACGACATTAGTGAAAATTCATTCTAGAATTATCTTCAATAGAGATAATCTGCGAGAAGTGTAGTTATAGAGTTGATTGCAGTATCAGAGTGAGTTTGCCAGAGTATTTTATTGACTCTAAAAACATACTCTGCGAATTCAACTCGAAGCGATTTCATACTGTGTACTTTCAAAATTGTGGCGTCACTTTCTACTGGCGGTAAATTTCTAGCCGTTTGAAAATTACCGGGGCATTATTGATGATTTTAGCACCTAAAAATCGACCAAAAAATTCTTAAAAAATATGAAATTGTAAAGTATTTGAGTGATGATTCTATTTGAGAAATAAAAAAAATAGTCCACTCGCTTATAAGAAATACAGAACACTATCTCTACCTCCGCTCGCAATTTTTCTGTATCCAACTGAAGTGGAATGGTAACTAGATTATCCAACCGATGAGGAGGCTAATTCAGTTCTGGCTATTACCCGCCAAATTGTAGGGAAATGAAGGGCCGTACACGACCGACGGCTGCTGCATAGGCCCCACTCTGGGGCCCAATTAACCTCCTATACTGCATCATTAACTGTCAGAGCGGAAATTTGTACGAACTGGCTGGCACGCTCGTAAAACCCAAATTAAAAAGAGGTCCACACCAAAAATTAAATTGGATGTTACGCTGCTACGCAAATGCTCGGTCATTCTGAATGTATGAACTGACCCACGAAAATGAAATGGAGAGACAAAAGTTGGCGTGTTAACTACGAGTGACGTATATTTTCTTAAAGTCGTCATTCACATATGTCAAAAACCGACGTTACAGTGTTGTTGTGCTGCGTTTGTTACCATTTCAGGACTTTTCGTGTTTTAATTGATTTCCAGTGTTTTCTTGCTATAAAACTTTATCAAGGCAATTATAAATATAGTCTATTATGGTTCGCTAGTGCGTAGGTTATGTAAAAGTTCACAATTCAAACCCCGAATTAGTATTTCGACGGTAATAAGGTTATGTTCCTTTCAACTTGAGCAGTGGTGTGGGTATCGCATATTAACTGAATTATTGCAAAAATTTTTGCTTCTCTTGTTCAAATTCCACTGAATGATGGATCAAAATTAGTTAAGTACCTAAGGTACTACGATTATTTGGTATTGATATCAAAAGATTACACCTCAACATTTCCTGATATGTATAATAGCGTTGTAATCGTAGTCAAATTGTCTTGCCCCTCATTCAATCTACACGACTGATGAAAAGTGTGCATATTGACGTTTACAGCGTTGCCATTTTTGAAGCCATAAGAAATTTTTTAGTTGTACATGTATTTTCTAATGACATCAAAGCCACGGACGAATAAGTGATAAACCAAATTGTATGAAGAGTATCGGAAGCAGTTACATTCAAATATTCAAACTCGCATATGTATGAGAAGTTCGAGACTCTCTAAGGAACCTCTTTGATAATGGTATCCAACAGAACGAGAATAAAATTATGTAAATTGATCATCATCTCTAGATGCCTCAAAGAAGTTTTACATTTGATGCAACTGAATTGTTCCGAAATTAAATTCCGGACCACTTCGAAGGACATGGTCTATTCTCTATCTCTCCCCGAAAATTCATTAAACATCAATATCACTTTCTCCACAATGTGTTGACCAGATTCAGCAACTTTCATCGGTAATTATAATCAATTTATTGTCATGTACCTCATTTTGAACATAGAGAAACCTTGGGTAAAATATCGCCTCCTACTGGACAATAAACGAAGTGAATTATATTTTTATCATGGAATAACATGAATGAAGACGATTTATTATTATTATTATTATTATTACTAAACTGCAGTCGCTTCTTTGGAATCAAATGTGGCTCTCTCAGTGTTCGTATTGCCATCACTTTATGATTCAACCCCGAATTCATCATAGGTCCTAGCTGCACTTCTTGCTGAAATAATAATAAGCAAAAAAGGCACTTTTAGAATTAACGACTATACTGAAAACATTCCTCTTCCTGATGCGTGGATTTATCTGTATTAGAAGAAGCCTTCATTCATCCTCTTCAATTTCCTATGTAAAAATACGTTATAGTTAGATGTTCTTGACCATTCGTTATATGCATAACGAACGGATCTGATAGTTTTTTACACAAATTATGTAAGGTTGTGGCATTCGCTTCGACCAAACAGAAATTAAATTTCGAGAAAAAAATAGTTCAAGTGACTAGCGTTTATAGTTGTGATGCGAAAGTGGGGGCAGCTGAGGTGTTTATGAAAATGACTTCTCTAAAATGCAGGTGGTTATGACAAATGATTAATCAAAATTTCGATTGATCGAGATTATCATCTCTAAACCAGAGATAGTATTACCCTTATGAGACCAAAAATATACTCCCTTGAAGTTTCTGATATTGGTTCACTAGGTGTTTTCTCTATTTTTTCAAATTTCTGAATGAGATCCTGATACATATATGAAACATGGTTGTTTTGAGGATAAGAAGAAGTCACCTCTGGTTGGAATCAAACATCCTTCGACATAGCCTTTATCCTTTCTCTCAGAGCGCTCGTACTAAGCAATTGGGCATGAAAAAAATTATGCATTGCAGTGAAATCATGAGGAATGCTTTTACTGTTGGAGCAGTTATGTTCTTCTATACATGATGATGATAATAATGATGATGACGACTATGGAGTGCAATCTCCATAGGAAAAACACAGTATAGAAGAAAATTAGCATTTATTTATTGTAGAAATCATATTTACCTGAAAGTGTAGTACACATGTGGTGATGAGGAGGCCTACACTGGTGAGAGTCGCGACTGATAGGCATGAGAGATACAGGGCGTGTTTCAGACGAATGCAGTATCGCTGATAGAGAGTTTCCAATTCCATTCCATCTACTGAAAAAGAAAACTATTGTAGAGAAAACGAAATCAATTTTGTCTTCATTCTGATGAAAGCTTGAATTCTACATGACTTCCTCAACTCATGTACTGTCATCTGAGTATATATATGAAACGGCAAGGGTTATATGAAACATCAGGTACATTCTTGAATTTGGCGCGTTGGTTATTTCAATTTCATAATGTTGGTTAACCTGTTTGTCAAAATGTCTGGCAAATAAACCAAAGACTGACTTTGTGTTATTGTTTATCACAAAAACCAAAAAGTAAGTACCTCAAATCAGTATTGAAATTTATTGCACTCGAAGGCTTTTTTAGTAACCTCAAATAGTCTCATCTAAATCTCAAAAACCCATCGTCATGCATACTCAGTTCATTGAGAACAATATTTATACATAACCTTAACTAACCATTGACAATTTTTTCATGATTAGAATCATTAAACCTCGTCGGGAAAAAGTATGAAAAAAAAATCTCTATGCATGGTTATATGAAATGCAACATGTCACGAAAACATATCCATAAAATTTCTTGCAAAAATTTCCATTGACAAATATATTATAAATTTTAGCTTTTTGAGAAATTATTGAGGAAAAAAAAATATGTTCATTTTTCCCCCTGTTACTGACATGTCACAAGTTGAGGTCAGTGACATAAATTCCATTGATTGGCAACCTATAGTGTGCAGAGGAATTCACACATTTAGTGGTGACCTGTTTTTTTGTTATCATTTTTTTGAAGTTTCATATTAGTTTTTCAGAGTTTAATGTTATTTTTTATACCCAAAATTTTAAAGTGAAACAATAAAATGATGTTATGTATTTTTTCTGTATTATTTTCTGTTTCAGTTATTTCAATGCTGTTTTTTTTGAAATTCTTAAAAACATCCCACTTGTTCCATATAACCCATCACAAAGTCTAATATAACACAATTCCAATTTTTCATGAGGATATGAAGTGAAAATGATATTGTTTCATATAACTCGTGACCAAGGGTTATATGAAACGCCGAAGCTTTAAAAAAAAAAAAGGGGCCTATACAAAAACATCAGAAATCCATGAGGAATATACCTTTGTATGTCCTTCAAATAACCACGAATATTTTGATTCGTTCTGATTTTCCAGAACGGAAATAATCATAGAAATGTTAAAAAATCGTTTCATATATACTCAGATGACGGTATCCTTTCAGGTTCAAAAATATCCTTATCATATAGAACCCAACCCAACAATCGATCACGATAACTATTGAAAAATTCCACTCGAGTTTTTATAATGATTCTACAATACTATCCCCTCGCTCTTTTCTAGTATTATACAGATGAAGAAGATATTCAACCTCCATATAGCTTAACTATGTGGAATTACATTTCATGCATTATATTATACTCAGTTTCTCCGTGTAGCAACTAGCAACTGTCCAGTTTATCTATATTAATTTGGAATTTGCACAGGTGGACAAATTATGTCCAGATTTAATATCAAATTCCGCTCCAGGCATCCACCGCACTATTAGAGCATCGCCATAACTCCACATTATGTTTAATTTGATTAAATACGCATTCAACTGACCGCAAACTCTATTGTATTCACGACTGCTGAATTAAGGGATTCTGAAACCTTCAGTACAGTAATGAGCCAAATTATTCCAATTATCGTATCGTAGTAGATATATAATGAGGGTTCTACTATAATAAGAGTAAGATCCAAAGTCATCTGGAAATGACCTGTGGAATATTTGAGATTATATTCATGAAATGCAGCTGTCGTGAAAACAAAAGAATCATATTCATATTTTCCTAGGATATTTTTTGAAAATGTGAATATACTAATGATTCAAATCATAATAGTTCGCACATTAACGCTCATGAATGCTGGTGTTCCGCAAGGATCAATTCTAGCACCAACACTACTTCTACTCCATATCAACGATTTGTTGGAAGCAACTTCATGTCCAGTACACAGTTTCATACCGCTTTCTCTTCCAGGGCTCCAATTCCAGCAAGGCAAATTAGAACCGAACGAGGGAGAAATATTGACAACGCATAAATATGGACTTGGCAAAAATTCTCGAATGGGGATCCAATAACTTAGTAGATTTTAATGCAAACAAAACACAAGCATGTCTTTTCTCTAGAAAAGTCGATCTCACTGTGCCCAACATGAGCTTGTCAGGAGTAACAATACCTTTGAAGACATCCATTTTGATGCTTGGTATAACTATCAGCAATAACCTCACTTGGGAAAATCACGTGAGATCAATTGCTGAAAGTGCATCTTTCCAAAGACTCGTTCATCCAACGAACAGCGAGGCTCTGGAACACATTGCCAACGAAGGTGTTCCCCGAGGCATATAACCTCCAGAAATTTAAGAAGAACACCAATTCCTACCTTATTTCCCTTGGTTCTCACGATGTTCTCTGAACATTACAGGATATCCCTTTTCGTGGGAACCAGAACATAAAAAAACACTGTATAAAACGTGGAGGAAATTCATACAAAGTCATCTGGAACTGATCTCTGGAACGAATTAAAATCACCTGAGATATTTCAAAGTATGTCCATCGTCTGTTGACATGAATTCCAGCTGTACCTACATAAGGATGAAAAATGAATAATGGATTTGGTTTCCTCCTAGTATTATCATTCGATACTGTGAATTATTTTGGCGAAACTAATTTGACTTTAGTAGACATACAAACAGGAAACTGCACCACGAAAGGTCAGATGTGGAAGCTTATCTAGGAAGGATCTCTAGAACTCACAACTCTCATGATCATGAAAATCCTAGGAGCCAATTACAGAAAACTTCGGAGATAAATATTGCAATCTTGATTTTCCACAGATCAGAAGTAGAAAATCAGTTCAAACAAACTCGAACCCAGTCCATATATACCGGGTGTCCCAGTTCACCTGTTCCAATGGATTATCTCAGCTATTTCGAAAGATAAAAATTTGAACATTTCATGATCCCCAATTCGTTCAACGAACCTTTAATTGAGAAAAACAAGAAATGAAAGTCACTTCCGGTTTGACCGGAAGTGACTCTGACTTTTTTATTTCAAATAGCACCCTGTATATTTTTGTAATTTTTGTTTTCTACTCAATTTTAATTTTTTTCAGTTGAAGGTTCCTTGGACGAATTGGAGATCATGAAATTTTCAAATTTTTATCTTTCGAATTAGCTGAGATAATCCGTTGGAACAGGTATACTGGGACACCCGGTATATGTACACATATAAATAGTACTATGCGTCAGTAGATCAAATCTGATATTTCATCTGAGAATGATAGATGTCTATAAGTACTGGAAACATCATAGTTCAGTTTGAAGTTGAGTTCAATAAATACTACGGTTATGAAGAACATAGACTTTATAGTAAGTAGCTTCGCAATTATTCCACAATTCGAGGATATTCGTTTGTCCCGACTGAGTTTCATTTGATAAGTAGTTAATCTAGCACACAACGCTCCTGGAAATTTCTGGAGTATCGCTATTTAGTAGACAATTACGCTGTTATAATTTCATATTACCTGGAATATAACTGTTATCACGTAGGTCGAAGGTAGCGCCATCCGACTTTATGGAAATAATTTCTCAAGTTTTAATTAAATGAAGATAACGCCCTGGGATACAATAATTAGAATAGTTAATTTCCGTTAAATACGGTCTAATCGCTTAATGGAACATTCTAAGAACATTTTCCAGGAGTTCAACACTTGGTGAAAAAAATGTGGGATATGTGATGGTTTGGTCAGTATTCCTATTGTTGAATGGTTCACATCCGAAAATCTACTTTACACCTCAACAGCATCTTATGATCTAAAATAGTTATTTTTGTATCTAGAGCGCGAAATGCTACTTTGGTGATCGAGATCTGATTTTTTTAACGAGGCGTAGCCGAGTTAAAAAACTAGTCGAGATGACCAAAGTATTTCGCGCTCGAGTTGCAAACAAAATTTTTTCTACAAACGTCAAAAAATATAGTTCTAAAGTAAAAATATGCTCAGCTTGATATGAAAAATAGTGTTGAACTAGCTTAAAAGGCCTCCTCCTATCCTCCCTAGGTTCGCACGATGTTCCACGAACATAATAGGAATTTCCTTTCGTGCGCTCCAAGAAATAAAACAAAGTTATTGATGAACATTCAGAAATTAATGATTTCGTGAATGTTTGCTCGATTGAGGACAATAAAGTTGAAATATAAATATCTCATATATTTTACATAACAGTGCGCGAAGTAGGTACTTCGCACACTGTTTTACTTCGCGCATTGTTTTGTGCAAGAAACGTAGGAAACTGAAAAAAGTGTCACTTCGCAATTTGTCATCAATGCGCAAACCTTGTCATTTTTTGACGTTTGTAGAAAAAATACATAAACTGCTACTGTTGAAATACTGTTCTCACACTATCAGCACCCAAACATACGCTGATGCTCTTATCATCAGCCTGGTGGGTGATGCCACACTCACTAATCTCTTGCCCTCATTGGAAGACCGTAAAAAAATCGACAATACCTTCCACTTTTCTATCGATATTTCCACGGAAATCTTTGGTATAATTCCATCACTAGCAATACCAACTCGACAGGCCCAGTCAGTAGATCGGCAATGCTTTGAACGTCTTTGCCAACGGATAGAAGTACTATCAAGAACTTATAACCCCCAAAAGATAAAAATAAACAACATCTACCTCCTCTCCCTATCCTCCTTAGGTACGCACGATGTTCCATGAACATTATAGGAATTTATTTTCGTGCGATCCAAGAGATCGATAAACAAAATCTCGGGTCAATAGCAATAGAAAGATAGTACGGAACACCCACCCTATCATACACACATCATAAAAGTTTAAAAACAATTGGATCATATTATCAAGTGACTGTGGAAGGAATACTGCAAGAGATCCTTTCAAAATCTCGAAACTCCAAAAATAATATGATATTTGAAGGGCTGCTATGAACGATAGTATATCGCTTCACGTGGTGGTGGACGGTGT